TATGGACGAATTTAGGCAATTTGGTTCAATAATTAGTGTGACAACAGACGCCATTTTGGCACGCTGTATGAGCAGCCCGCAACCACCCGGAGAAAATAGGGTCGCACGGTCAATCGCGTTGAAAAAATAATAGGGTCGGCAGAAAAAAAATAGCGTCGGTCGGGAACCGGAACCACAGGTATTTTTTTTTTACGCCTTAAGTGTATTGGGACACCCAAAGAGGGAAGGTATGGACATTTCACTCAAACCCAGTATGTACCTTAAATAATGGATTTGGTCTTCCTGGACATGCACAAAGAACAATCGCTTGCTGACCAACACGTGTTGCATATTCATCCACAGTCCCCTTCAGCTTGTGCAGCAACCTGGTTTGCTGACGTTTACGGATGGATGGGTTTGTCTCAAATGAGTGTGGCCGTTTTCTCTTGCGACCGGTAGCAACGGCAGCCGCTGCGGCAACCCCAATAGGTCCTCCCGCGGCTAACTGGCTGGTAACAACATCAGTAACCAAGGAATTAAGAAGGTCAGAGTCATCAAATGTTGCAGATTCGGGTGATGAGGGTTCCGACATTGCTGCGTTGGTCAGGGTGTGTACGATCGGATGAGTACCCTGTACTTGTGGATATCCATCACCATCTTGGAAATCTGGCAATAGATCTGAGATGCCATGGAATTCATAACAGTTCTTAACAATCATTCTCAAGGCGTTGGTCCAGGATAGCTTCGCTTTCTGCTCCTCAGTGCGAGTGTCGGAACGGACATTTTGCCACGGAATCTCGTCAGGCCACCATGGGGCTTTAGTTGAATCCCGCCCCCAACCCGGTTTTTCTCGGCCAGTGGAATATTTTAACATCAGTGGTATGAATGCTCTGAGTTGTGCTTGGGGCATTTTGTCGACGGGAGTTGGGATGCCATCTATGTGCAACGGTGGGAGCTTGAAGAGGCCGTTGTTGTCCTGACTGGGGGTTGGTGTCTGCTGTGCCAATGCCGCTTCCAAACTTTGCAGGATGTGTGGTTTTAGGCCCTTCACACAATTCTCCAGAGGCGCTGCACCAAACACCTAGAAATTATTAATCAATTTGCTACACTATACTTTTGCTATATTTAGCACGACAATGGCATTATGACACGTGCTTATCATCACAGATAATCAAAAAATCTGAATTGGTTGTTCCAGAAAAGATCTACCCTACCCCCGAGCAGGAAATTTCCGCTGTCCGGAGGGTGATAGACTACGACATAGTCTGTGCAATGTGATAAGGGTGCCCTCATGTGATCAGGGGGAGGGGAGAAAAATAGGAGGGGAGAAAAATTTATCTCTGATTATAGTAAGTGTATTGGGACACCCAAAGAGGGAAGGTATGGACATTTTCTGGAATGACCCAGTATGTACCTTAAATAATGGATTTGCTCTTCCTGGACATGCACAAAGAACAACCGCTTGCTGACCAACACGTGTTGTATATTCATCCACAGTCCCCTTCAGCTTGCGCAGCAACCTGGTTTGCTGACGTTTGCGGATGGATGGGTTTGTCTCAAAATATGAGTGTGGCCGTTTTCTCTTGTAACCGGTAGCAACGGCAGCTGCTGCAGCAACCCCAATAGGTCCTGCCGCGGCTAACTGGCTGGTAACGACATCAGTAACCCAGGAATTAATTAGGTCAGAGTCATCAAATGTTGCAGATTCGGGTGATGAGGGTTCCGACATTGCAGACGAATCGTGGGTCATATTTTGAAAGTGATCTGTGGCATCGTGCATCACTATTTCAGGAGAATGGGAACCATCGTGGTGCATGTTTACCACATGACTGACATGTGCCATTTTGGACTAAAATGAACGATCAAACTCATTTAAAAATTTGTACAAGACATACTGAAAATTGTCAGAAAAGAATGAGATAATTCTGACAGACTTCTGACAATCCAGACCAGTTCACCTTGTGTAATGAAAATAACAGGAAAAACAAGGCTAGTTTTACAGGAAAAAATTCCATTAATGTTTTTTAAAAATTTACCATGTAACTATCAATGTAAAAACTGGACTCTTACCAGTTACCATTACAGGTTATTATAGATTTCAGGTCTTGCGGAAATTATCGAGTGAAAATTTATATACATTTATTAGACCTAACCAGGAACCATACTTGGAAAACTATGCAACTTTAGATCCCAGGCAAGAATCGAGCCTGCAGCCTCTGCCTCCTCCACAGGCCCTTGTTGCGTCATGGGAAGGTCACACACAAAATTATGGCGCAGGCGTCATGTTAGCAAATAAATTTATACATAATGACATAATCTTGAATATAAACAGGCTATAAAAAAAGCAGCGTGAAACTTGTAAATTAAAATGGCGACTCTAACAACATACATGGAAGGAAGCATTTTTTAACGATCAGGTTTGTTGTCCACACCAACGTTGCACAAATAAAACTGCCTTCTTTAACAAAGCAGGTTTAGAACAACATTTATTCATTTTACACGATATTTCCGCAGGCCTTCTCGAAATTGTGACCTTCCCATGACACGACGAGGGCCTGCGGAGGAGGCAGCCTGCAGCCCTGCCACTCTGGTCTAACTAAGCTACAGAGGCCAGTTGGCAAGCTCTAATTCCACAAGTTCATGTTTTTATACTAGGGTACTGCCTAAAATTCCCATATGGTAAATTGGTAAAACCATGTTTAATTAATTAATACTGGTATTTTCCTGTGCACAGGAAAAAATACAGTAATTAACAAATATAAAACATTTTCCGTGTTGATATACAGTTATATCAACACGAGTGGAATTGGGAAAACGAGAAATTGATTTCGAGTTTTCCCAACTTCCACGAGTCAACACGGCTCTTAGCCAATCAGCGTTATCTTAGCCAATCAGCAATATCAAGATGGCTCTTAGCCAATCAGCATTCAGAATTTATAAATGCTATATTATAATGATAAATATGGTTTTTTACCAATTTACCTTATGGGAAATCTATAGTAACCAATGGTAAGAGTTCAGTTCTAATTACATTCAAAAGAGGTCGGCTATATTGCGAGTCTGCGAGTTGCGAGTCTGCGGAGTTTACGGTGTGGATTTATTGCCTCGAAAACGCTCACTTAAGTGTAATTTTGTGTGCTTTGACGAATTGATCTTATATGTTATACTTTGACAGACAGACTCGTTTCGCTTTTTCGAATTTCTCAAATTTTGGCGGGAAAATGACGTCATCGTTTTGGCGCCAATATTTTGTTTAAGTGTTAAGACTTCGTTTGTTAATTTTTCTAAAATAAGAGGCTATATTATCTTCTAAACCGAAACAATAATTGAATTATCTTAATTCAATCAAGAGTTATAAAGGATGGAATTTTCAGATTTGGGCTATTTTTAGTAACAAAATGGCCGAAATCTGAACGTTCCATCCATTATAACTCTTGATCGAATAAAGATAATTAGATTATATTTTCGGTTTTGAAGTTTACACAACATATAACTTTTGAAAAATTAACTAAGGAAGTCTTAACACTTAAACAAAATATTGGCGCCAAAAGGAAGACATCATTTTCCCGCCAAAATTTAAAAATTTGAAAAAGTGAAACGAGAGCATTTCTTAGAATGAAAAGATCTGTCAAAGTATAAAATATAAGACTAGTTTGTCACAAAACACACAAAATTACACTTAAGTGAGCGTTTTCGACGCAATAAATCCCCACCGTAAACTCGCAGACTCGCAACTCGCAGACTCGCAACTCGCAACTCGCAGACTCGCAACTCGCAGACTCGCATATTAGACAAACTCCATTCAAAAACCCAGTAATTAATGGAAAGTTCAATTTTTCCCTGTGAAACAGGCCTATTAAATAACTGCAATATTCCATATTTGTATATGTGTATATTGTGATATGCACATATATAATTAAGGCAATTTCATAAAACGTGACACAGGCTAGATCATTATGAAATTCAAACCGTCACATACATTGTGCAGCTTTTTTTATCTTAATCATTTCCAAATTTCATTCCAACTTGCCATATTTTTGAAACAGCTGGTATTTTATATCGAAAACATTTAATAGATATCAATAATAAGCAGGAATTTGCCACGAAATGGCGACGTTTACGTGTATAAATATATATTCAACCAAAGTTCGCGAACTAAATTGAGACATTTTTGTAAATATAGAAGTAGAATTTTATTCCCCAAAAGGCTTCGTATTGCCATATATCGGCCCAAAATGTGAGTCTACAGGGCTCGTAGGAATACAAGTATACAACTCACCATTTACAGCCAAATTAAAACAAGGAAAAACTATTTTCGATTTGAAATTCATTGTGCTTTGTGTGTCTGCCACCTGCCCGAATTGACTGAGGAAATGGTGCACGTTTTGTTGGCAAAATCTGCCGTAAAAGTTGACAAATAACAGGGAAATTAAATCAAAACTTACTTCGAGAATGTCTTTAGGATTTTGGTTATTTCTGACTGTGCGCAGAAAGATCTGGTTTCTTGAGTTGCGCTGTGGCGAAGATGATTTTCTTGTGCTCCGTGACCGCCAAAAAGAAGCTTCTCACACGCACCGCCTTCTCGAGTTTCCTTTCGGGGCGTACCTGCCCCTGGTGGCATCCTCGCACCTCATTGGCTCACACAAAGTATTGTATTCAAATTAATAGAATATTGGACTGTAGAACTACAGGTATTCTCCAGAGCCCTTTTGTGAAGGGTTTTATACACAGATGGAAATTGCGAGTGCCAATTTTATACCCAAACACAAAGGAGCCGGTTGTGAAAAATGCAACTATATAGGCCTATGCAACTATCCATAGTTAATGATTATCGAACCTGCGATTCTAACCGAGCTACAGAGGCATGTAATCATATGCATGTAATTTACAGTAACTAAGTATGTATTTACAGTATTAACTAAGTATGTATTTACAGTAACTAAGCATGCATTTACAGTAACTAAGTATGCATTTACAGTAACTAAGGCGATGCCAACTAATTTTTAGAAGGGTTTTATAAGTTATCATAAGTTTTATATATTTTTTATATTTATTAGACGCAGCCACTCTGGCAAAAAATCGAACCTGTTGCGCTCATGTGATTCCAGTGCAGCGCTCTAACTAAAACTTCAAGTTTGTTACCTCAAATGCTATATATATAAACACAATTTGTAAAGACGAGTTGTTTCTGTTTGTCTGTATCAGTTTTCCGTAAAAAAACCTTTCCAAAACAGATGAAAGAATTCACAATTTTTTCTTTATTATCTTCAAATTCAGTTCTCATATATTTAAGTTAATTCCCGTATGCGGTATATTATAAAACGCTAATACACAATCTGGCTATCTCATTAACTCTAACTCTACCGTCTATATAATTCTCAATCAAAAATGGCCTCAGTACAAAATAGTCACAATTCTACGCGACGTACACGTTCATATACAGCAAATTCTGACAGTTCCTGTTGCCTCATTAACATAAGCCCCGTTTATACTACGCTCAATTTTTGGTTCGGTACGGATAAAATTGGTACCCGTACCACTATTTTGGTTCTTGGACTACCTTAGGTACCAAAAATTAAGCGTAGTGTAAACGGGGCTTAGCTAAATAGGTAGTCCAAGAACCAAAAAAGTGGTACGGGTCCCAATTTTATCCGTGCCGTACCAAAAATTGGGCGTAGTGTAAACGGGGCTATAATTTCCACTTGGTCGTGGCTCTCGTGACCAGATCATAATCACAGATAAGAAATTAATGATCAGATTATTCATGTGTTTTTTGTTCCGCATGTGAAACACTATATATCCAGCTAACTTGGAAATGTTCAACCATCATGACCAAAGGGAAACCACGCTTATAAATCCCAACGTACTCTTTACAACAGCTCTTCACGTATCGACTGGCCGCGCAGCAGCCAATGACTAGATAGTCCCTTCGTTTAACGTTACAAATATGTCAAAAAAACAGTAACTAGATGGCTTGGAGAACAGTGGATTTTCAAAACAATAAAAAGCAGTGGAATATTCCGATCCACTGGATCGCGACTGGATGGCACAAATTTTCAGCATAGTTTGTCAAGATACGATGGTCTGGAAGCCGGGCAAACTTCAAAGCCACAAAATAGAAGAGCTTTGTTTGATGTTGAACTGTACCTCACTGCGCACAAATCCTTTGTCTCAACTTTATTAAATAGTATTCATTGTGGTTGCACGTTTCATCATAGACCGTGCACAAATTGAGGCCAGCGTCAAACGTCGAACTTTTCGAGCCGAACCTAATGTTAATGAGCTAAGTTCTTTGTTTCACTTCATTTACATTAGGTTCGGCGCATGAAAAGTTCGACGTGTGACCCTAGCCTAACATAAACTCAGACGACAACATAACATAGAGGTTCAGATTTGACTTCCACTACTACTACCATTAAGGAACCATCAACCAATCAGATGCGTTTGATATATTCGATTAACCAATCAGATGTGTACTAAGCCATGCAGTTAAGAGGTAGTGGTAGTCAAAATCTGAACCTCGTATGTATACTATTAACAAAGCAACTTCTGTCATGTTTCCAGAACATCATATCTTGATAAACTATGCCTCCAGTATCAGCCTCGTACCCAGGCGCTATGTGTTGTTCTATGACTTACGTGGCCATTTTCTCCCACGCGCGTCGTCCCGCGTGCGTGTCGCGCGACGGTGTAGCACAACAAAGCGCCTGGGTACGAAGCTGCCTCCAGTATATTTAAAGGATAGTACCCACACAATTTATCAGGGGTAAGACCAAGCTTTATGGCTGTTGTCTGCCAATTAAAATTGTTGTTAGCTTTGCTGTATATGAACTACACTAATTACTACCTCGAATTTACAATGTTTCACAATATGCAAGCTCTCCTGCAATACGATATTGGTAAAATAGCTCACAATTGTAATGTGAATAATAATATATGCATCAACGCTCTGTTCGTCGGAACAGAAATCTGTAATGTAATAAATAGACCATCTTGGATGATTTTGGCAATAGCGTGGAACAAATATTGATTGCTTCCAAACTTTGCGTTGCATTTCTCTCCCCACGTATCATATTTATTTAATTTAATATCTAGAAAAAAATATATAACGAATTATTAGAACAAGGGCAAACGGTTTGCAAAATTGTTCTATGCATGGCCCAGTGGTATATGGCTGCAATTTGCGCACCTCCCCTGAGACCCTTTGATGGATCAAAGTCAAAATTTGACTCAAATTTAACAGTTAACTTGAGTGATAGTTATTAAATTTTTATGTATTGGTTTTCACACCCCACCTAGAGAAATATGCCTCCCCCCCCAAAAAAATTAAATGCTCATTATTCTGTGTCATTGGGATAAATGACAGTAGTGTGATTTAAATATTTTGAACTAAGTAAGACTAAAAACAAGGATTTTGAATAAAAAATCTCAAAATTTCCTTGGGGCTTCGGCCCCTTACCCCCGTTAGCAACTGTGCCCCCAGGGGTTGCTGCAGCTTGTTCGGCGCCGCCGCATAACCCGCCCATAACCCCCCAAGAGCAAAATCTGAAAATTCGTTCTATGCATTCATGCCTGGGTCAATTACCGTTTTGGTGCAAAATTTGTAGTGAGTCATACATATAGTCATAATTTTTGCACCTCCTCAAAATCCGTCCCTAGTTCTATGCACACGTCACAAATAGAGTATGTATGCCAGGGGTAACCGCCCTGGAGTGTATGCACATTGCCCACCCAATGAGGATTCTGTTACCATAGTGATAAACACCTCATGCCTTACCTATAATAATTAGGTTTATATGGTCCAGTTTTTGCCACACCCAAATATTTCGCTTGTTCATCCGTTAGCTCCGTGAGATGCGCATCAAACGTCTGCAGATGTAGCAACGCTACATACTCATCTGTGAACGGAACCAATGTTTAAGCATAGTTAATATATTAACTATGGTTTAAGTGAATTTAGGAATCACCGTGAATACACACATGAAAGGGTTTTTTCCGCCTCGTCCTCACACTGAAGCCCTGGGAACGAGGTTGGGGTTTTGTAGGTGAAAATTTCTAGTGTGAATTTTAAACCCGAAATGTTCATCAAAAACAACTTTGAATTATCCATGGTGTCTGCAAAGATCATCTGACGGTTTTAATCAGCTCAACCAATCAGCGCGAGGCTAGTTAATAGACCATGCTTAATGACGTCACAAGGCTTGATGACCGCGAGGAATGCTGGTCTTAGTAGTCATTGCCCGGCCAGAAAATTTCGATAGTGGCCTATGGCCATTGTGAATTGTTTAATTTTCCCGGGCGATGACTACTAAGATCAGCATTCCTCGCGAGCATCAAGCCTTGCGACGTCATTATACAGTACATAAGGTCTATTATATGGGAAGTTTAATTATATGGGAAGTTTAATTTTATGGGAAGTTTTTTTTTGGGAAGTTTAATTTTATGGGAAGTTTAATGGACTTTACCCTGCATGGGAGTCAGAGGGTATTGTTTTCGCTTCGCGCGTTTTCTGGCAGTTCGCGTTCGCCAAACCTAAAAACCTCTGGGCCAGGGTAAATGTACCTATTCCCTAATGAACAAAATTTTGATCTAGACAAGTCTAGACAAAAATTTTATCACGGCTTGAAAAAGCATCACAAAATTAGTAATATTCCGAATTTTCGTTGCGAAATGTTGTAGAATGCGGATAATATAGCCCTGCGAAATTAGCCGTTTTTCAGTCATTTTGTATTACGCACGCGAAATTGATACCTTTTTTCAGAAAGCGGTATCAATTTCCCGCGCGTAATAGAAAATGACTGAAAAACAGCAAACTTCGCAGTGCTATATTATCCGCATTTTACAACATTTCGCAACGAAACTTCGGAATATTACTAATTTTGTGAAGCTCTTTCAAGCTGTAGTGAAATGTTTGTCTAGACTTGTCTAGATCAAAATTTTGTTCATTAGGGAATAGGTACATTATATGGGAAGTTTAATTTTGTGAGAAGTTTAATTAGCCTATATGGGAAGTTTAACTTGATGGGAAGTTTAATTATATTTCTTACCCATTTTCTTCGGTAGCAAATAAACATCTTGTTTGTATCGTCCAGGCGGAGCCTTGTACAGTTCTATTAGAGCTATAGCTTGTGTTGTAGTTGTAATTGATACTACAAATGACGGCACACTGGAACAACTTAAGTTCACCAAACGACCCTAATATGAAATATAAATCAGTACTAAATAAACCATGTCCGAACTAACTTTACTTATACAGGGTTCGTATAGTTTCCAAGACCAAAGACTTTCAAAGATTTTTTCTGCCTATTGTCAAAGACTTTTCAAAGACCTTTGAGAGCAATCAGGTGTCGAAAAATTGCGATGTATATAAGCACCATTTTTACCAGGTAATTAGTCCCGTCAAATCACATCCTAAAATGCGCCTTTTCGTCGATATTTGCGAAAATCTTGCTTCAATCAATCTATTTTATTAGCTAGGAAATCGTATAATCAAATAATCACTAAAGAATTTAAAGACTTTCTTCGCTTTTTCACACAATTCAAAGACTTTTCAAAGACTTTTCAAAGACCTTAAAGACCTGCATTCAAATTTAAAGACTTTCAAGGATTTCAAAGACTGCTACGAACCCTGTTATATATTGCAATGTTATATATATATACCTCCGCTAATAGAACTATTCTCTTCTTATTTGGCCAAATAATATGATCTACTTGGGGTCGAACTTTTTCCCAGATCAATTCCTCCGTTCTTAAACTGGCCTGTAAAACACAGAGGTGGAAATTAACAGAGAGAGAGAGTGCAATGACTAAAGTAAATTTGAAAGATGTTGTTGCACTTCACCAGGTTGAACAAGAATGCTGGATTTGGTGTGTAATCCAAGTGAGCATCTATCTGGCAAGTTCGATTCTTGGTTAGGTCTTAAGTTGTCTACATATATGGTCCATTAACTTTGCTTGGATTACCCACCAAATCCAGCATTCAATGACTGCATGAAATGTATTCAAACGAGTGAGTTGAGGAAGATTAGTGGACACTCTACATTTGTGCGAACGAAGCATTAGTGACGTTTACATCCGACTTCCACTACGCTACCAGTAACCAATCAGACGAGTTTAATCGACCCGATTAACCAATCGGATGCGTTTAATCGACCCGATCAACCAATCAGATGCGTTTAATCAACCCGATTAACCAATCAGAAGCGTTTAATCGACCCGATTAACCAATCAGATGCGTACTAAGTCAGTGAAAGGTATGGCGGTAGTGGTAGCCAAATCTGAACCTCGCTATTGGCTTGAATTCGAGAACTCAATGCTGAAGATGTGATCCAGATATAGTTCAGATACATTTCATGTCAGGCCATCACACCCTTGTACCACTGCTCGTGTACAGCTACAAGCAACTCACCACGTCAATTTCCGTATTGGAATGCCCCATATTGCACACAATACAACCATTCTTAAGACGATCCATATGCTCTCTCGTTACCACACCCTTGTTACCTGGAAAAAAGAAATACAGTCCCCGCTTCTTATATACAAGTTTCCTGCATTTCAGTTCGCTCCAATCTACAAAATCCCTTCTATATTTATAAAATGTCGCTTACATACAAATAAGATTGAATATTTTTTTCTTGCAAAGAAAATTTAATGTACAATAGTACTCCAGCGTACCTGTTGCAGTGATCAAAATATCAATTTGTCCTACAACTTCTTCAATTCTTACAACTTTAAATCCATCCATACTGTAAAGAGAAAACACACATTAACTTTTCAATGTAGACTGTATGGCATGTAAAGAGAAAACACACATTAACTTTTCAATGTAGACTGTATGGCACTGTTGCATGGGACTGTAGCATAATCGTGTTATTCAGCGATGGATGTGTTTCATTGTCACGCAGTTCATATTCGGCAAATGTTCTCTACAGAAGGCTCACTCTCCAGCGGACTTGCAATGAAAAGTTGGTTAGTTCCTCAGGATCTTGCACGGATATTTTGGATGGTTGTACTTACGCTGCCTGCAGACCACAGATTGGATCAATTTCGGTGACATGAACAATGGATCCTAAACCCTTTAATGCCGCACAACACCCTTTGCCTACCTAAGTATGGAGAAAATGAGGTTGTTGGTAGAGGCATTACCAGTTTGTAGGGCCAAAAAAAAATATGTGGGTTTCCGGTTTCCCGATCCTACCTAGCTTTTGGACGTCGAAATCCCGACCCTAAACTTTTTTATTGGATCATGCTTGTAAGTGTTTCCACTTAGAGGAAAAAGTTTGTGGATAGGCAATATTAGGGAAATTTATCTTTGGATGTGGAAGCACTGACTAAACAAAATGGCGTCCGCTTGTTCGGAAAATTAAAAAAAAAGTTTAAAAAAAAAGGTTAAAACCGACCTACCCTACCTAAGTTTTTATGAGAAGAAACCGGAAACCCACATTTTTTTTTGGCCTAGTCCGTAATATGTCGTGTTTTAGTGTTAGATGGATGGACTTGGTATGGGATTCTTAGGTTAGGGTTAGCTTAGGTTTATTAATAAAAATTACATCGCAACCGAGGGTTGAATTGCGTAATTTACACTCACTATCAATTACTACTATGCTACAAATTTTAAAATTATCATTAATTATTTGCATTTAAAACGATTTGCACATAAAAGGTACAAAGGATCTCATAGCCCTATTAGTCTTTGTTGATTCTAGTTCTGTTGTCCAATCCTTCAATCTGTGTATTTTTTATATAATATGATTGTAAATATAATTTAAAAAAAAAATTATATAAATTTGATGATAAGGAAAGAAGTGTTTTGTGCATATATATTGAACACATCCTTATAATGGAAGGGGAGCACCCCTGCCCCCCTCCCCCAACTAAACACATGTTTTACCTCTCCATATCCACACACTAAGACTTGCTTTCCTCCAAACATTACATCCGTTGTTCTTTTTAAACTAGAAGTAAAATTATGTTAATAACCATATTTATGATGCGGCATCTATGTAGATAGTATATATTATATGTAAAATTAAAATATCTTTGAATTTACCTATCCAAAATAGACTCTCTACAGCAGTATAGATTGTCAAATTTCGTCTGAAAGACAGAAATCAAGTACTTTTAATGATCAACCAACAAAGATCTCTCTCTAGGTTTTGGGAGAGGTCTCTCTTCATGTAAAATATTTTGTAAATATCTACGGTGGCCCTGTGGAGGAGTGAGACCAATCCTACAAGTCAGAACAAGATCTTCCCTATCTTCCTACTAACTCTCCTAAAAAAGGCCTTTGCTTGGAACACTGTGAAGAATATGTACTTCATATTTCAGATTGACTAGCTGTCTTGAACTCTGCAGGCTATAGATATACTGTACCTTTGTAACTGAGTCATTGACATTCATAGCTGGAACAGTAAGCTTGCCTTGTTTAGAAAGTTGAAATAATCTAATAAAAAAAGTGCACTGTAAATACTCACACTCTAAAGGCTGGTGGTTTACACTATCAAAGTTTCTGTGATCACAGTAGGAATTTTGCATAGGTAAATTCTAAGTTTTGAAGGATTTGTAAGAAATGTTTGAGGAAACTTACTGAGTGTTATAAAGGATGGTTTACACTATCAAAGTTTCTGTGATCACAGTAGGAATTTTGCATAGGTAAATTCTAAGTTTTGAATGATTTGTAAGAAATGTTTGAGGAAACTTACTGAGTGTTATAAAGGATGGTTTACACTATCAAAGTTTCTGTGATCACAGTAGGAATTTTGCATAGGTAAATTCTAAGTTTTGAATGATTTGTAAGAAATGTTTGAGGAAACTTACTGAGTGTTATAAAGGATGGTTTACACTATCAAAGTTTCTGTGATCACAGTAGGAATTTTGCAAAGGTAAATTCTAAGTTTTGAAGATTTGTAAGAAATGTTTGAGGAAACTTACTGAGTGTTATAAAGAATGGTTTACACTATCAAAGTTTCTGTGATCACAGTAGGAATTTTGCAAAGGTAAATTCTAAGTTTTGAAGGATTTGTAAGAAATGTTTGAGGAAACTTACTGAGTGTTATAAAGGATGGTTTACACTATCAAAGTTTCTGTGATCACAGTAGGAATTTTGCAAAGGTAAATTCTAAGTTTTGAAGAATTTGTAAGAAATGTTCGAGGAAACTTACTGAGTGTTATAAAGGATGGTTTACACTATCAAAGTTTCTGTGATCACAGTAGGAATTTTGGATAGGTAAATTCTAGTTTGAAGGATTTCTAAGAAATGTTTGAGGGAACTTACTGAGTGTTATAAAGGATGGTTTACACTATCAAAGTTTCTGTGATCACAGTAGGAATTTTGCATAGGTCAATTCTAAGTTTTGAAGGATTTGTAAGAAATGTTTGAGGGAACTTACTACTGAGTGTTATAAAGGATGGTTTACACTATCAAAGTTTCTGTGATCACAGTAGGAATTTTGCGGCAAATTTTAAGTTTTGAATAATTTGTAAGAAATGTTTGAGGAAACTTACTGAGTATTATAAAGGATGGTTTACACTATCAAAGTCTCTGTGATCACAGTAGGAATTTTGCAAAGGTAAATTCTAAGTTTTGAAGAATTTGTAAGAAATGTTTGAGGAAACTTATTGAGTGTTATAAAGGATGGTTTACACTATCAAAGTTTCTGTGATCACAGTAGGAATTTTGCAAAGGTAAATTCTAAGTTTTGAAGAATTTGTAAGAAATGTTTGAGGAAACTTACTGAGTGTTATAAAGGATGGTTTACACTATCAAAGTTTCTGTGATCACAGTAGGAATTTTGCATGGGTAAATTCTAAGTTTTGAAGGATTTGTAAGAAATGTTTGAGGAAACTTACTGAGTGTTATAAAGGATGGTTTACACTATCAAAGTTTCTTTGATCACAGTAGGAATTTTGCATAGGTAATTTCTAAGTTTTGAAGGATTTGTAAGAAATGTTTGAGGAAACTTACTGAGTGTTATAAAGGATGGTTTACACTATCAAAGTTTCTGTGATTACAGTAGGAATTTTGCAAAGGTAAATTCTAAGTTTTGAAGGATTTGTAAGAAATGTTTGAGGAAACTTACTGAGTGTTATAAAGGATGGTTTACACTATCAAAGTTTCTGTGATCACAGTAGGA